GGGTTTGGTAGGACAAGGGGAAAATGCTGAATTCTTTGAGCTAGTAGCCAGCACATACCAGGGATTCTTTGAAACAAAACGGACATTATTTTTGGAAACAAGACCAGGGGGCTGTTGTTTGAGTCCGGGAAGGAGGCAGAGGAGGAGACAGTTTTAGAGCAAGAAGGAGGAGGAAAAGGAGGAAGAGGACGCATTAGCAATGGTTTGAGATTTCAGTAAAGAGCCGACCTGAGATTGTCCCTGTTGCTGCAGGAGGTGACTAATGTACAGGATGAAATGGAAGGAAATGATGATGAATTCTGGGTCTTGGCTGTGCAGGGTCATTCTTTAGCCTGCTGTGGGTCACTTAGACGGGCCGGGAACCTGACACGTATTTAAAGTTGAAACACAAAATAACATTAAAATGTTTTTATTTTGCATAATGTAAATTCTGATGTGTTTAAAAAAGTGACCTTGCTTCAGCATATACTGTATGCGCAAGCAGCTTTTAACTTGTACAGTATACCTCCATTTGGAAAGAAAGAAAAGCATCCTTAAGTAAAAACCCACACAGATGTGTTTCTGTTGTTGTATGCTCATTTAATTAATGTGTCTTGGGAAGATTGCGATGTGCAGCCAGAAGGTGCCTTGTGAAACCAGTAACAAAAATATAATGAATCAGACTATATGTCAGAAGGAAGAGTTTGGGAAACATGCTTACAGTAGTTCCATTATGAGCTGAGAGGTAGCTGAAAAGCTTGATACCACTCTTAAGATGAAGCAGGAGCAAGCAGCTGGTTAGCCTAGCTTAGCACAAAGAGTGTTAAAACAACAATTTGTTGTTTTACAGGAGTATACACAGATCAGTTTCAAACTACTTTAAACCAGGCTGTTTACCTTTAAAAGTAATCATGAAAAAACCAACCATGCTGGATTCTATTTTCTGTTGTGAGAGAGTTTTTGTACATGTCCATTTCCTATCCCCTATCATTAATACACGGCACAGTACTCTAGTAGTACTAGTTCATGGTTATGGCAAGGGACAGTGTGTGCGTAGCTGGATGATGAGGTCAAGGCTCTATTTGGCAAGGGGCCTGTATAATCCTGCTGTTTAATCTTTCGCAGATGCAGCAGGGATCTTTAGTGATGCTCGGGCTCTTAGGATGTGCACTTGTGTGTCTGTGTGCATGAGATTGTTTGTGAGAATAATAGGGTAGGAAGTCAGAGTGGCCACCCTCAACCCCCATCATGACTTCACATACGCACAAACAAAACACCTGCAATAAGGTGTAAAGATTTGTGCAGTCGGAGAACATTGTTGTCAAGACACAACCAGTGCAGCTGAGATAAATATGAAGGAGAAGTGGAGGAGAGGAAAATAAATGTTCCACTTTGTCTGGTTTAAATTAAGTCCTCTAATGAAATAGGTGTGCAGAACATCATGTATCTCTCTGTGTTGGCTGCACTATTACAACGTGTACGGTGTGTTCCTCTGCTACACACATTCTCTAATAATGCAAAAGAATATCTGATTACATCTGAATGACTCACACACATAGCTACTTATGTTTTCTACATATATACTGTTACAGTTTTGCACTTTTTGGTCAATATCTCACACGCAGCACATTATTTGGATGAACAATGACGCATTGTTTGCTAAAAGGATACTTTAGAGGTCATAGTTAAACATGACGCGTATGCAGCACATTTGTATGCACAAGGGTGATATCATACACTCACATAGACAGACTTCCTCTGCACAAACATGCCTTAATGCCATGTTCAGGGGGTAAGTCCGAGGTTAAAATGCAAACCTTTTTGCCCACTTACTTTGACTAACCTTATCCATTCCTTTCACCTGTTAGCTACAACCTATATCGTCCCTCCTCACCCCTGCATCTTATTTCACATTCTCCCCTTCTCTTCCTTACATCGCTTTCCCAGCCAGCAGGTATTTGGGTCAGAAAACGTTCACAAGCATGCAAGTGTGTACGTGTTAATAGCCCCCCAAGCTTGGACTTGTGCCATTCAGCTGACAACCACTGAAGATGTGTGGCCTAATCTCTGACCCAGCACCCAGTACCTCTGGATGGTCAGGGATGCCACATAGGCCTGAAGAGTCTGGTGATGTGAGAAAAATCCTCATATCTCAGAACTTGTTTATAGAGAAGATACAAACCTAAAAACAAGAATGTTCTCCTTCGTTGGATGCCGTCACATCAGTTATAGAAGGTCAGATCAAGTCAGTCTTGGGAGTTCCCTGGAGTGTGTTTGTGTTGTGTTGCATAACTATTGCGGTTGATGGAGCGTGTGAATCGTGCCTTCCAATGTCTCGTAGAACTTTTTTCCCGGCAGCTGAGAATGCTGGAGTTGTGACCCAGAGGAGAGGCTTGCTCGCCCATTGGGACATTGTAGGGGTTGACAGAATTATACAAGGGTATGATCAGTGCTGTATCAACCTCAAAAGTAGGACTGAATCCTCATATGCACATTATAGCACATCTCCCACTCTTTTGTTCTTCTGTTTTTAGCTTATAGTATTTCTAAATAGGACACCCTTATGTCTGTTTATAAGTCTGCCTCTGTCTTGTCCTTGTATGGTGACAGTTTCTCTATCCAAAGAGGTTTAGGGGCTCATGTTGGGGTGTCTGTTTCGGTGTATACGTGTGTTCGGTGGTTGGGGGTTGCATTGGGGTATAGTGAGTGCCTAGGATTAATGAAGTAGAGTGTGAACAGTGCAGCTGTCAACCTTCTGCCTCTGAGCGTGCTCAGATCACAGGAGACCTGCTCTCACCATTCAGCCCTTAAAACCCACATAATCACCTCTAATGCCCAGAGATTTCATTTGTGTATGTGTGTGTTAATGTAATTGTATCAACAGTGTGTATGTCTTTGTTTCCATGCATGTCTATAACACACGAACAGTGCATTTATCAGTGTTTGTTTGCTCTTTTGAATGACTCGAGTGAGTCATTGTGGGGGAGAAATTTGTTAACTGGTGAGTTTGCAGAAGAATTAAAGAGGAATCTGTGTTTACTGGCACCAGATCTTCTGTGAAAATACACAACAACACAACAAAGGTTGTACACCAGTGACTGTCCCTTGATAACCGCCGTGAAAGATGAACTTTGAAACTCTGTTTAAATATTATCCTTTTGTTGTTAACCATCCACAGTTAATCATTAGAGTGATCAAAATCTGTGTGATTTGAATACAGAGGTTCATATCACATCTACAGAAACAAAAAGTGTATCCTTTCTCACAGGTGGCGATCAAGTCAATTCGTAAGGAGCGCATCACTGACGACCTGGACAGAATTCACATCCAGAGAGAGATTGAGATCACTGCCAGGCTCAGGCACTCCAACATCATACGCTTCCATGAGGGTAAGTCTGCAAACACAACACACACACATTGCACATGTACAGTCCACACAAATATCATTGTGAATTATTACCCTTTATTTTCATCACCAGACAAAACTCATGCAGATTCATAATCAGTGACTCACAGTACAGATTAGTGATGTTGTGGTAGCGCTAGTGCTAGTCTACAGTGTTGTGCAACAGTGCACATAAAGGATTGTTCTTGTCAACAAATCCCATTTGAAGACAAAAAATATATATAAATGATAGTACCTATTTGTCCAAAGCCTAACACAACTTCTTTCTCTGTGCCATAGACTTCGATTGAGCTGCGAAAACTATTAAAAACACATTAATGAGACACTTAGGCTATGTTCACACTGCAAGCCTCAGATCTGATCAGATTTTTTTTGTTTTGCTGTTTATTTTTTAAAATGTGGCTCATATCAGATCCCAGTCTGAACAGGTCATGGTCCTGAAGTGACCTACATGATGAATGTCGATCAAGAGTGAAGAGTAAAAGTCACATTAATTCTGATATTACTGTTCACACTGCCACATTGGAAGTCATGAGTACACAGCTTGAAGCAGTCCAAAATCCCCACAGAAACACAGATATTTAGAAACGTAGACTCAAACACTTTCCCTAAAACAATGCAGTTATACAATGACCCACACATATCAAACTTCCAGCCTTTATTCAATTATTAATTATTCCATTATTAATTTCTCCATTTGTAGAATAGTAATCATTAATCAGAATAGCATCTGTTGTTGTTGTACAGTGAGGAAGAGACCTGTAAACACATCAGCATAATGCCATACTGTAAATGTGTCCTATGCAGTGTTTGAGAGCCGGGATAAGATTGTCATAGTGATGGAGTACGCCAGCAGGGGAGAGCTGTACGATTACATCCAGGAGAGGAGGCGACTGCCAGAAACAGAAGCCAGAATCATCTTCAGACAGATCACATCTGCTGTCCACTACTGCCACAAGGTTTGCACACACACAATTTCTGCAAATACACCATTGGAATTCAGTATAAATTAGGGAACCACATGTAGGCACGTGCTGAATTGCATGCTGCTGCGGTATTCAACTGTGCACAAGCAAATACAGTACCACTAAATCCACTAAATCCTAATCCTAATACTGCAGAAAAACTTGACTTGAGATTTCAGTTCTCTCTGGGTTAAGAGCACATTATCTCTTCATTGTTTTTTACAGTCAAACACTGACACACTTAACTTAACACGTTACCTAAATGAGCTTCCTTCATCCCTTCACATTACTGTAAGCCCTGGCACAGGAGCAAATTATGCATTGTTTCTTGTTTTTATTGTTGTGTGCATAAATCAACAGTTAGGCCAGAAAACAGGAATTAGTTAATATATAAATCCTATTAATACAAAGGTGCTGTACAGTAGAAGTAAGGACCTGTGCCTTACAGTCAGCTGACTTGGATATGGAAATGTTTATGTTTTCATATTGTTCTTATTTTGGCATTTTGGATTTTTCATGAATCCCCTGTATTAAACTCAGAGATTATCATTCAGCTCCTGTAGCTTTATAGTAGGCAGGGAGGTGGATGTTGTGCTCCTCGTGCCCTCAAATATTGTCCCAAAATAGACATGAATGTTCTGGCATGAATGAATTATTGAATGTGCCTCTGAGGTATGCTGGGTACATGGAGGGATTATTGAGGCTTCAAAAGAAGAATGAAAATAATTCCAAGTCATTTGCTGCTCTTTTTTTGTTGCTATTTTCCAAATCTGTTCAAAGTCATTTAAAAATAGCAAGAATACTAACGTGGTTGACCACATATATTTCTTCTGCTTTTCTTTCTCCTTGTCTCTGCCTTGCATACACACACACATACACATTCACACACAGGCTTACATACTGTGCACAAAACATTGTCTAAGGTCATGGGTCACTTCCTCCACTTAAGTGCTCTGAAGAGGATGTAATTAACGAACGAAAGTAGGCTATTCTTGCTCATTAGCCAGTGGCTTTAAGAGAAACTGACAGCAATGTTTAAAGTTTCCCTGCGTCACATGGCTTCCTGGGTGGTCACAGTTATCTATAGCGGTCTACTTGTCGCTTCTTATGATTCGCTACCAATTCAGTGTCAGGGAAACACTTGCAAAAGATTTTGCAATCGAAACCTCCAGTGCACCTTTTCCTCGCCAGGCTCCACAGCTGTCTACACTTTGTGGCCTCTCGTTGGCTTCCAGGTGCTTACTGCCATCAGGGGATCAAATCGCATCTCATCAGACAAATTTACCCAAACAAAGCACTTCCTCATCCCTGTAGAAACAGTTGGAGAGCCTTTCTCGAGGCTCTCCGATATGTTCGACGCATGGCCCTGCAACACGAGGCCCGAATGGAATGTTAATGGTTATAAAATTCTAAATGACAGACAAAGCTGCCAAGCACCACAGGCTTGGTTTATGTTGTACACTTCACACCCTTCATTCTTCATTCGTTTGCATACAGAGAGAAAGCATCTGACTGTAAAGCGGTGGGAGGAGAAGTGCAGGACCTCATGTTTCTCTGCTCTTTTGCAGAACGGTGTTGTGCATCGAGACCTCAAGCTGGAGAACATTCTTTTAGATCAAGAATTGAACGTAAAGGTAAGATTGATAAAACAAACAACAAAACTGACAACAACACAAACTGAGCCAGCATATCAATTCCCAACGAGGAATTGTAATCATGCATATTTAGGAAAATAAATGAAAGAGTTCCCTTCCAAAAATATTTTGATATTTATCATCAGATAAAAAAAATTGTCCGCAGACAAAAGTATTGTGTTAAATACAAGTGTGTTATTTTAATGGGTCATCCATTAAGACCCGTTTACACTTTTGTTTTGGAACATAAAGACATAAATTTTTATGAGAAACTGGCTGATAAATTTAAGGAGGCAATCTTTTGACAGTGCTGCTGTATTTAGCATGCTGGAATGAAGCTTCACGTAATGCAGCTGGAAATGTCTTCCAAGTTCCAAAATAAAATGCAAACAAAGTGCATATTTAGAACATACATTGGAGCTATTTCTGCCCACTGTATTTTCAATGTGTTGTTAAGCCATGCACACTGAACCAGCACAAACATACTGCCAGGTCTTATAAAAGAACCCAGGGGTAATTTTTTTCCTTATTCCTCTCCTTATATGGCAGCTGTGCACAGCCAAAGGGGAAAGCTGGGAATCCAATGGCAATCACGCCAATCGGAGGGTTTTAATATAGTACGCTCAGTCTGTCCGTCAAAAGAAAACACTATGTGCATACCTCTCAGCGGCTCTTTATTCATTGCAAACCTCAAGTTCACTACATCGGCCTCACACAGCATCCACTGCAGGAAATGACCAAGCCTCTGTGCAATGTATGTGTGTGTGTTATGTCTGCACAATAGCTACTTAATAGCATATGTAAAAGGCAGGCACACTCAGACAGGTCGGGTAACATGTTGGGTCTTGGTCAAGTTTGATGTTCCAGATTTCAGTTTCATAATATACTAATATTAAAGTTCTTTAAAGGCCCGGAGTGTAACATTTATTTACAGAATATAACAGAAATGGAATAGAATCTTCATAGGTATGTTTTCATTAGTTTGTAATCAGCTGAAAATAAGAATCGAAAAACCAAACACTGGCGTTAGATCGGTCTTTTGCATTTTTCACATATTTCACACCCACCATAGTTTCTCCTTTGCGATTGGTTGAGTCAAAGGGTTTCAGTTGGTTGCAATCTGCTATCTCACTGCTAAAGTCTGTTTTCTGAACTGAGCATTTTTGTTTAATATATTCATGAACTATTAGATAGCACCAATAGAGAGAAACTAGAGAGAGACATGCCGCAAGTTTCCAGACAGGCTTGAAATTATACTTTTGAGCAGATTGGATCAGCTGATTTATTCATTGGACAAGAGGGAAACTGATTTTTTTTTTTAAGCCAAACACAATAATATCTGATCCTAGCTGAGACAAACCAGATGATGGTGCTAGTCACACTCACTTTACTTGTTTCTCACATGATATAATCACAAGAACCACAAAAGGCAGCCCAGAAATTTGCCCCAGCAGCCTGCAAGCCACTGTAGAACTCTCTGCATGAGAGACGGTGGCTCCTCACAACAGGCCATGTAATCCCCAGGCATGTGTAAAAGAGTCATTTGCATGTTTAGAAGAAAGAGTGTGTCTTATACAAGCATTCAACACTGAGGAATGTCTCTGCCAAAGCACTGAAATGAGTGCTGGAGCCTCACACAGTATCTCTAGTGGCAAAAGAGAATTTACACTGCATGACACACACAGACACACACACACACACACACACACACACACACACACACACACACACACACAGTAGTTTATAGAACGTATAGCTGTACAACCTGCACAACTTACATGCTCAGTGTACACATCATTATTGCCACTGTAAGTATATTATCAATCTTCCATCTGTGAGGTCTCCTTTTCCCTGTACCCCTGTTCCACGGAAATAAAGCTGTCACGTTGAGTATTTTTAACACCAGAGGGGCTGATTGTGTGCTGGTGCTCATGTTAATCTCTTCAGATAGAGAGGAGCCTCGGTATGTCTGCGTATGGCTCTCGCAGCCTCGAGTGAGTGATTGTTCCGTTACGTGAGTGTAAGCAGCCTGATGTTTTTGGCCCGCTTCTCTTTCCTCACTCACACTTACACTGGCAAAAGCTCAGCATACCTATTTTTGGCTGCTTTAAAAGGAATTGCTTTTGAGTTATTGTGTTTTTGCCACATGGGTAAAAGTTTGCAGTACATACTCACTGAAAAGGAATCTGGATTGCGTGAGGATGAGTGTGAGTGTTGAAGTGAATTAGTGGGTGAAATTTATAAAGGGTTCAGTGTTAACTGATTAATCCATTATGCCATTAAGTTAAACCATTCTGTGCTGGACACAAGCAGACAGAAGTCTGGACTGAGATCGTTATGTCATCTCTGTCTCACTGTCACATAAACCCTTTTGTTTATGTGACACAAACATGTGAACACACACATACATACACATGCTGGACTGGTCTTTAATCACGGCTGTGAAACCTTTGAATTTATATTTTGGATGTATTTTTTACATATTTTTCAAGGTTTCATTTCATATGTATTGCCTGCTTTATTGGTCTCATTTTTAGCATACATTTTATTTATTAATAGATAAATAGGTGGCTTGGCAGTCTCTGGGAGTTACACTAATGTCCTCTTGGAATAAGTGATACTGTTACTACTGCTGTGGCACTATGCAGCTGCAGCTGTGACGTTCTTTGTTATTTTTCTAGTTTCCACTCTGGGGATTGAAAAAGTTATCTAGTCTTACACTAGCACAGATGCAGTAGCAGCAAGAGACACAAAATGATTATTATAAGTGCATAATTGTATGTTCTCTCTTTTTCTCTGACTCTGCAGCTGGCTGACTTTGGCCTTTCCAATCACTTCCAGAGGGGTACTCTGCTGCAGACCTACTGTGGAAGTCCACTCTATGCTGCCCCAGAGATAGTGAAAGGACTGCCCTACCAGGGACCAGAGGTGGGTCTACACCATTGACATGTGATTAGTTGACAGAGCTTCTGGGTCTGTGACGTGAAGCCAACATGGAAGTGTCTTAAATCTTCATTCTCTCTAATGGCCAGCAGGGGACAGCTCCATGGGCTGCAGAAAAAGTAGTCTGGTAGTATTGAGCCTCATGGAAAGATTACCCCAATTCTGACTTGATTTATTATCTCAGTAAACATAATGAGTTTATTTATAGTTTATATCACAATTTTGTGTCGTGTGCAGTTCTGATCGAATATCAAGATTGTGTTACTGCATTGCCTATTTCTCCCTTCTTTTCACAAACATACTGTACCGTTTATCTATGAGAACTTGTGTGGCCAGGTAAGCCGCCATTTCCTGTTTCCTGCTATGCGCTTGAATCTAAGTGCAGCCAATGCGCACAGCTCAATTTGCAGTATGTCGCTGCTGCTTGGTCTGAAAAAACAGAATGATGAATACACCGTCATCACTAGTTCCTTCAAGAAACTGTTTCCAACCATTATGGGTTTTCTCATGAAGTTACATCTTCATGTGTTGTTCATAGTGAATCACTTTTGATTCTATCGTTCCATCATATGGTGTATTGAACAATGCACCACACAGTTAAGTTGGTGGCCCTAAAAAACTGTATTTATTAGTTCAACTTTAAAGCACTGATTTAGTCCTGCATTCAGTATGCTGCAGAACAACCACAGTAAATGGGTCAGGCAAAACCACAAAAAAACTAAACTATTAGATTTTATCAAGCTGAATATTGTAGAAAATCAAAACATGAGGCACATTTTCAACACTTCAACTATAATCTTTATCATGCTGATATCAAATCATGTTAACCTCATTATGTGTGTTTATGTCTTCTAGGTGGACTGCTGGGCGCTAGGGGTGTTGCTATATGCCCTGGTCTACAGCAGTATGCCATTTGATGGAGCCAGCCACACCACACTCACAGAGCAGATCAGCCAAGGTCGCTACCGCAGACCCAATCCCCCCTCAGGTAAACCTGTACAATACCCATGTCTCTATCAACATTATATCAACATTTCTTTTCACCAGAATGTCGGATATGATTGCTTTGTTGGTTGTTCTTATTAGTATTCTGTTAATTATGTTGTTTTAGTCAGTGTGGCTGCTATAAATAACTGCTGACTCTGTTCCCTCCAGACGCCTGTGCTCTTATCGACTGGTTGTTGACGGTGCGTGTGGACGAGAGGGCTACGATAGAGGACGTGGCCAACCACTGGTGGGTGAACTGGGGTTTTGAAGAGAGTGTTTGTGACTGCCCTTCATCTCCACACCAAGAATGCCCCTCCCCACTGCTGGCTCGCTACATCGACTGGCAGAATAGGGTGGCAGCTACCAGCAACATGACTGTTGACCCAGGGTGCCTATCCTCAGACTCTTCCTGTCCACCTCAGCTCTCTCCCCACCCCTTTTACTTCAGCTTACCTCTGAAGAATGACCGTGGAGCAGGAGGAGGAAGGGTACGCGGAGGAATGTCAAGCCTCAGGAAGTCACGCAAGGAGAATGCAATTCCCCAGACTCCAGTGGGAGCTTGTGGTGGTGTTTGTGCAACAGCTGCCTCATCTGCTGTGATTTCTGCCACTTCCACCACTGAAAGAAAGAAACCTAAAGGTATTTTGAAACCCCAGAGGAGTTTTGACTCAGTCTTTCACAGTCCTCCTAAGGAAAAGTCTCCCACCCAACCGTGTAACGCTGCTCCTCAGCCTTATCGAACACACACACTTGCCCACACACATGCTGATGTCATGTCCACTAGTCTGCCACCTCCTTCTACATTCAGTCAGCCCTCATCCAAAATGCCAAAGAAGGGGATACTAAAGAACTTGTATGGAGGGGAGTCGGGTTATGGCTCATCCTCAGAAAGAATTATCTCTCGAGTGGGAGTTAAAGAGAGGGATGCAAGTGATTTGTGTTCCCACAAACAGCACACTTGTCTCCCAGCAGCAGAAGACAGCCCCACAATGCGCACAGAGGCAGTAAGAAGACGGAAGGGTATTCTGAAGCGTAATGGCAAGTTCTCTCGCAGTCTGGATCTTCCTGATGACCACCACTCGTCTCCCTCTTCAGCCCCCACAATATTCCCAGAGGCCTTACAGCAGCTCCTCCAGGCAACAGGGGGCGCAGAGGGCCACCGCAGCCGCCCCTCCAGTGTGGTGAGCGAGGATAGTCTCTTCTCCTCCGATTCCTTTGACCTGCTAGACCTCAGCGCCCAATCGCGCCGTAGGATTTTCTCCCGGGGGATGCAGCACAGTGCCTGCAGCTCTGAGGAGGACCTGGAGCCTCTTAGAGCTGAGGTGGACAGGGTTGGTGGAAACAGAGAAGGACAAAAGGAAATGCTCACATAAACCTAAGGAATGACGGACAAATCCATGTGGTGAAAAATTTGGGTGAACACCAGTTCTTTAATTCACTTTTCTGTGATAATCACTGCCTGCCATCTTGAAAAGACTTCACTGAACTCTGGAAAGGTTGCATATCGAGTATGTGGACTGTGCATTGTACTGTCAGTGTAAAGCACCATTTTTTGGTATATTTGTCTAAACTGTATTCATTGACATTTAAATTATGCGAGGCAGCACATTGAGAGACAAGACAAGTGACACCTGAAGGGAATCCAGTATCTGCCAAATTGCAGAGATGGGACCTGAATGTGGCAGAATGGACAGTCCATTTAATAAACTCACTCTGACCTCACCCGCACAATATCCTTTTTAGATTTTACTGCAGATTTCTTTTCAGATGTTTCTTGAAAATCTAGAGTCTGGATTCTGCAATCTGGTAAAGTTAGCACTGCAGGTTTTTGGAAACCATCTTGGGCAATCTTGGATATGTGATTCCATGTTTGTGTCAACACTGACATTAAGCTGGAAGAAATGTAAGTGTGTTTCCATCCACCTGCTTTTATGGCCCGTTTTCCACATAACCACATAACATAAACCTGGTGACATTTTTTTACATTTCGCTGATGTGAAAAAGTTCCTCACATTAATTATACACGACACAAACATTGCCACATTTCAATCATTGCTTTCCACCATTTGAGGTTTGACTTGCACTCTTCTTCTGCAATGGTTTTAATGGCACCAGACTGGAGAATTAGAATTGTTTAGCTTGATACACTCAACTCCTAATATTCACATAATGCTAGTTGATGGAAACACATTTTCTGGAAATTCTGTTTAAAGTTTGTGCTAATTTGGATTGAAACCTGACTAAAGACAGTTCCATTGTGAGGATAAATTCTGCTAAACTGAACTGAAAGTTCTTCACGGTAACACTTTATTTTACCCTATTTTATGAGCTCTATATAAATATATTAATAAATGGCTTATAACTCACTTAAATGTAGTTGTAGGTATTTGTCAACAATTATAACTTCTGTAAAGACATGTTATAACAGCTGTTTTACTATATTTTCATTAATTTTCTCCAGCCTCCAAATACTTACCACTCCATTATGAGTGGTAAGTATTTATTAAATATGTCAATACATGCTTATATCTGCTTACAACTACAATTTAGTGTGCTATGAACCATTGATTAAGTGGTTATATACTGCCTATACATGCTAAATATAGGGGAAGTTAAAGTAAAGTGTTACCTACTGTATTGTATCACATGTTACTGAGTATATTTGTATTACACAGTAATGTACTGTGCACAATTTGCTCCTTTGCACCAACAGACACAGTGTGAATAGCAGATGGATCACATTGCTTTTTACCGTGACACCACCAATGCTGCTGTGGACATTTAAAGAAGTGATGTATGCAGTAGATGTAATTTCTCTGTAATTTATTTTCATACTGTGAGAATTCTGTTAACTTTGTTCCAGCATTTCATACTTTTTTTTTGGAAAATGTAATAAATTATGTGAAACAAACTGAATACTTTCCGGTTGTTTTTCTAGTGAGAGAACAAGAAAAGCAGTGCGAGATGGCAGACAAAATGAGCACATAATGCATCTTTAAAAAGAGTAAAGATAAATATTATGAAACACAGATGTTCTGTGAAAAAGGACATTTTAAGACAAATCACCCTTTTATTCCAAATGTTAATTCTTCTCTGTAGTTAAGGACCCTTCCTTCTTTTGGCTCTGAGCATGAAACAATACAGAGAATTCAAGGAACGTAGAGTTCTATTTACCCTACAGACTGTTTTCATTATAGTTCATGTACTTACATAGAAATGAATTTGAAAGAAGAAAACACACAGAAAAGGTCATATAAGGCTTAGGTGAAAACATTTAAACACTGTTTAAGGTTTCTGAAATCAAGATATGCCACTTCACTTGATCATTTTGTATAAAGAGAAGTAAGCAATGAAGCACTGAGTATGACACATGCATGCTTTCCCTTTGTTTCCTTTATTGGCTTTCACTAAATACTTTCCTAAACACAGAACACATGTTCTGCAGGCCTCTCCCCTGTCTAATGGAGAAAGCCCATCATCTCTGTCAAGTAAAAACCTAATATCTTTTTGTGTTTTTTGTGTGTTAAGATATATTCAAGGAATACATTTTCCTCTACAGATTCTCCAACCTCTTATAGGCCCATGAAATCCCTTCAAGGTGTATTAAGTATTTGAAATCTGTATTTGTTTTAAATGTGTTTCTTATTTCCTGAAAAGCTTCCCTTTCAGACATACAAGTTTTCACAGCGTTAAGATGAAACAAGGCAAAGCTCACCAGCAGGTCTTGTTTAGATGTGGAGACGTCTGGTATGACTGACATATACACAGGCCTTACTTTATACCACCCACTTGCATGGTTTTAGCACATTTAAATGTTCTTCCTTTTGCAACACATAGTCTAATGACTTTAATGTTTATGGATTGATGGCAGAAAAGCAATTTGTTCATTTGGCTGGTGGTGGATGAAGTGCAGAGCAGAGGTCTGGGGCGCATGATAGCTCATCTGGTAGAGCCCATGGTCTATGTAAGATAAGATATTCCTTTATTCATCCCCCTTAGGAGAAATTCAGGTTGACACAGCAGCAATAGGGCAAAGTAGTGCAAAACAGAGAAAATCACAAATAAAAATATTACAAAATACAAAATATAATAGAAGATATAAAACTATAAATGAAAGTATATACACTATGCATTGTTCAAGTAGGACATGGAGTGCAAAATATGAGCAGAAAATTAAACTTGACTAAAACTAAAAAACTAAAACTAAACTGTACAAGTGGAAAGAAAATATAAATAGTGCAAAAGGTTTGTGCATTGTGGTAGGAGTTTGAAACCAGACTTTGTCTGCGGGGGTTGGAGGTACTGGGTGCTGTGGCGTTGTGGAGTCTGATGGCAGATGGAACAAACGAGCCTCCAAACCGCTTTGAGGCTCGGGGCTGGGTCAGTCTGTAGCTGAAAGTGCTCCTGAGCTGCCTAAGCTCAGTGTAGAGAGGATGAGAGGGGTTGTCCATAATGGCTTTCAGCTTCCCTCTCATCCTCTTCTCAGTCACAGCCTCCAAACTATCCAGCTCCATCCATGTACACCGAGTCCTTGCTGCGGTGGCCCAGGTTTGATTCAGGCTTACAGTAAGGTGTATGATCCCATGGTCTCCTTCACTGAGGGGCTCAAGAAGCTAAAACAAAGAACTGGCTTTAATAGGAGAATAACTGCAGGGTAACAGCAGCTTAAAGCATATAAGTTGTGTGAGGACCTCCTGTCAATCACACTGACAAGTTACCTCAACTGCATGGACTCATTGGCCAAAGATTTTAAAGATGTTGAAGTATTCCAAATATCTGCAATGATTGCTAATGCAAAGGGGTTCACAGCTAAGTCTTGCAGGCCAAGAGGCTTTTGTTTCTGTTCCCTCACGTGTGGATAAAAGTACCGTTGAGTGAACAAAAGCAGCCAGACTTTACTGGTTTCTAGGCTGATTACTGGGGCTCAGGCAGTTAGGGAACAGTAGCTTTACCTATTTTAAAAGTTGTAGCTAGTCTTACAATCTGTATACCCCTAGTTAGGTCAACCAGTACAGTATGTCTTAATCTATCAAGATTCTAATCTATTCTCACGTTTCCTTTTCAGTTAAAATAACCAGCAGTTTCTATTCACTTTGATTTCTGATATTTTTGTTTGCTGAGTTTCAATAATCTCTATATAACAGAAAGTTGCTTTTGAATGAAGGACCTTGGCCCAGAAGTCATATTATCTTCATGACGCTAAGAACAACCACTCAGCCCAGTCAGATTGCTGAGGCCTCTGAGGTTATCTGACAGTTGCTGAGGCCTCTGAGGTTATCTGACCTTATAACAACTACAGTATAACAAAGTGATAACTGTCTGCACAGAAAGCATCTTAAGACAGGAGTTACTTACAAGACATTCTTTATCCTATATCCTATAAGACAAATGTATTGCTACAACTCAGAATACTCAACAGCGTCCAAGTGCCATTGAGAATAACACTGAAGATGTTCAACCTCCTTTGTTGGGATACAAATACTACACCCAAAGGTGGGACAACTTCATCATCATAGATGGAGTAAATCTTTGAGATGATTGTACATCTGTTTCCTCATATGTGGTTTTGAAATTTCCATCCAGATTAAGTACAAAAATTTCAACAAAAGAGGAATAAGTACATAGTTGAACATATGGTGAAGTAGAACACATGCAATTTACTGTCAAGCAAACTGAACTGAAAGAATTAAACAACAGTGTCATCTTGTGGCCATTTGGTGTAGTTGAGCAAAAGTACCCATATACCGACACTGTGTGTTCTGACATCTTTCTATTAGAATCAGCATTAACTTTTTCAGCAATTTGAACTACAGTTCTGTTAGATCGGACCACACAGGCCAGCCTTCACTCCCCACGTGTATCAATGAGCCTTGGTCGTCCATGACCCTGTCTCCGGTCTGCAAGTGTATAAGCAATGGTAAAAACTGTAATAAATGTTTAAATTCAGTGTTAAAATAGAACTGTGCATAAGGTAAAATGTATTTCTATGGCTGTTATTGATATTGTTGGTTAATATCGACTTTTGCAGGGAAGGCAGGCCAAATAAACAAATATTTCACATACATTTTCTGTTAAAGTACTATTACATCTTGTGTTGACTGACAAATGATAATAACTTAACTTATAAAAGTACATTGTCAAGTTTGGCTGAAAATATTATGGTAACAATTGACAATATGGTACACAATGGATGGAGACCAGAGATTGTGAGATGTTGTCTGAAGAAAGGGGGTGTAAGCAAGTTGTAATGTACTAAACTGGCTTACTTACTTACTTAAGTCTCAACCATCAGTGTTCATGCTCTGTGAGTTGTTGCAGGCCTGTCGTAAACTGAGAAATTCACTCTACGCTATATATTTGTGTAGGAAATGTGCCAGTACTTTACTACTTTACTACTGAAGTAAAAACAAGTACCCAAAAAATGTACTTGATTTCATTCCATTAACCCTGTGAAAACATCGCCTCCCACTATTCCTAAACCAAGCACATTCCTCATGCTTGATATTTGTGACACAGTACAGATAATACAGACACCATCAAGGATATTTTTCACTCTATACAAACATGATATTCCAGTGATAGATTAAAAGATCAATATACATATGGACAATGGAAAAATAAATACAATTGGTCTTCATCTTCTTTAATACAGAATCTACATAATGATGATTGTGCAATATCAGGTTGTTTTATAGTAGTAGTGATTTTATAAAATATTTTTAATTGAAAGATATGAATCAGCTTTTCTTTTGTAAATTGTTCTGAAAAATTGTTTCAACTGTTACATTTTTTTTCTTCCCATGAGAAACAGGTTGTATGTGGGAGAGCAGCAAAGCCTTTATTCTGTAAAATTAATTTTGAAATACATTTATTAATCTTTGCTTTTGCTAACCTTTTCTGACAGCTTGTTGAAGCTTCCAATGCCTTTAAAAAGGGAGAGAAATTCACTAATATGTCTTTAAACAGCTAATCAGCATGGTGCGGTTTTAATTGAAAAAAGGTAAGCAGTTTGCTGTCAAAGAATGAGTACACGGTAAAAATGTTCTGGCTTGTTCTCCATAGATTGTTATAATAAATTAGTTTTTATTCAAGATGCTTTTAGGGATAGATTCATTGCTGCAATATCTTCTAAATTTAATTCACCATTTTCATGGAAATCATTTATTGCCTTATCAGGTTTATTTTTCAAAAAGAACTTTGAAATGTTCATTAAAAACATTTAAAGAAGGATGCCTCCGAAGAGGGAAGTGCTGTGAAGAGATAAATGAACTAAGATTGCGTACTATCCGATATATCACATTTCCTCATAAAAAAAACGAATTAGGCAATGCAAATTATTTGACTTTCAGTCCGAGGGCAATAGTTGTGCCCCGATGCCAATCCCATCTTACTTTATCAAACACCTTCTCAAAGTCAGCAATAAATAAAAAATGGAGACATCTGTTTGATACCCATAATGTCACTTCCATTCTGCAAAGGTCAGGGGTTCGATGAATAAAGCAAAATGTCATCGGGAGAGTTGGCTTAGTACATCCAATCATCCATCCCAATCTTCTTTACTTGTTATATAAAACATTCCCTTATAAACAAATAAGGGAATGCGAATTATTGCAGTAGTAAGGTGGGTGTGGCGGAGACACAAAGGTTTCACTTTCAGTTTCTGACGCAGCAATTAAACGGCGCACCCTCACTCATTAGGAAATTCTTGGCAAAACAAACAGAAGGCTGCACATCACGGACACTTAGACGCAAGACTCAGCTCAAGGATCAAATAAAGACGCCACTGGTATGAGAACTAATGAATGAATATGATTATTTTGAATATTTCATTTTGATGTGATAAATTTGAGTTTGTTAAAAACGAATAGAAATGTTAGTCGCGTCATCAGCTTAATTTGCTTAATTTATGGTTTACTTTGAGTGAAGTGCAGCCGAAATTTCCTGTAAGACACTCACCAATACACAAAAATAAATATCTTGAGTCAAGCAATTGGTCCTTAAAGGTTTTGTCGTTTTTAATTTAAAAGGTTACTTTAAGGATTTTTACTGGAGTGCGCAGTCCTCTACTGCGTATGGAGGATAAGCAGAACATACTTGAATCATCTTTAGCCTCTTGGCATATTTATTTAACAATAAAGTAGGGACTGATGTGTTGTCATCTCATCATCATGGCTCGCATATCGATACTCACACGCTACTCATTTGGCATCGATTTCCTTAAACAAATATCGATATCAACTAACAAATAAGAATTGGGGGTGCATGCATCACTTTCAATTGTTTTGGAGAGCTTACTTCAGTTACTATGTGCCGAGTCATCTCCGTGACAAGGAAAAGGAAACTATATGAGCGTCAGCCGGCCCGGTCTTCAGCTGTCACTATCATAAAGGCAATAAAAAGCCCCCAAAAAAGAATCGGATAATAAAAAATAAATTTCTACTAACTCTCTCTAATTACTGTTCTGTTATCTGTTATGTGCTTTACAAAGTTAATGTTAAACATCTCTCTTGTTTCTGCCCTTTGTTACTTCAGTGAAAGGATACAGTGTTTCATGTTTACTTCGACATACAGGTTTTTTATTTTTGAGAAATAAGTGAGGAAAGTGCAAATGTGCATGTTGGTGTTCATTTTTAATTGATTTCATTAATATTTGTGTTATTTATTTTACTTTTTGTTTTATTATGTATTGCACATAATAAATGGGATAAATGGCCAGTATTTGTCATGTGATTTGCCTTAAGTGTAATAATATTTTGACTGAAAAAACATTAAAATGATCAGTATCGGTATTGATGAAATTGCAGGAAAAAGGATATTGTATCGAATCCTAAAAGTGTGGTATCGCCCATCCCTACTGGCACTCACTGGGAGCATGGTGAGTCATGTCCTGTACGTACCGTAAACCTTATACAATACAGCAATACAGTATATCAGTCTATCATAATACAGGGAGTAAGGGCGCCATCAAATTACAACACTCAACACAGTCAAAGAAAATGCTCAGAGTGGGGCAGTCCCACACTGGGTTTTATACATTTTTAGAAGCATTAGAAGCATTCCTCCCTTACATTTGTTATCACATAACTGTCACAGTGAAATTTATCAGATGCTATCTTAGCTAACAGGCCCTCTCTGAACTGTGAGAACCAAGGTCAGGCCCTTCCATAAGTCACGTGTTGCTGCGTCCACAGAAACACATTTATTACTTTATTACTTTCAACAGAGACACATTTATTACTTTATTACTCTCTGGACAGGAGAATTACTCTCTGGACAGGAGACAGATATCTAGCTGAAAGTTACTCACTAAACACAAGGCCATAGGTCGCAGTGCTTAAAAACACATTGAAAACACATTACTGAGATTTTATTACTGAGAACAATCATTGCTATAGGGAGGAACACTCAAGCCTGTAATACAAATTTTCCATTACAGTACTGTATTACTTTATTAACTCTTGGTTGTGAGCAGGGGCGTTTCTAGACCCCCTGGGAGCCCTAGGCAAGAAGGACCATGTTTTGCTCATTGTGTGAAAATGTTTTATATTGTTACTTCATTCCTATTGAGACAAGTTGATAATAGAATAATTGAAATAAAACTCTTTTACTCTTCATTATGTGAACTTGCGCAGTTAAACTTGTCTAACACTTGAGGGAATCATCCACTTGTGTGTTTCAGCTGTCGCCCAGGAATAGAAAGGCTGCTCAACTATAAAAACAGTTGAATTTGAACTTTATTGATGCAATGTGTAAAATACAAATACAATACAATACAAATTGTTTGTACAGTAGCAGGTGATATGTAACCCCCAAAGCACAAAAGATTATTTCTCTTGTGTGCACAAGATAATATATTGTGTTATATAAGTTACGGTCATACATGAAATAAGTAATAACTGAAGAACACATAAAAGAAAATGTATAATATAACCTAAAAATATGTAAGGTATGCCGTGTATGTCAAACTGTACATTTACTGCCTTAATTCTCAACATGCCTCATGACAAGAGTCTGAACTGAATCATTTAATTCCAAAATACTGTGTCTACTAAATATTTCAACAATGGATTGTGAAGTATTTTGTAAACAAATGATATGACTCAGCATTAATAGCTACAAATTGTTAAAATGTGAATGGGAGCAAAGAAAGGCTTTAAAGCTGCAGTAGGCAGCCCTGCTGTTTATATCACTCCACTCCACTGTTCAAATTGCCCAAATTCAACTGGATCTGAAAATTCAAATCAAGTCACAAAATCGAATTGCTTGGTGAATTCAGACAAAAACATCTTGAGCAATTTTCAAAATCTGTCATTTATTAAAGAACAAATGCAAAATTTCTTTAGCCTTATTATCGTTTGGTGGCTTCCATACTCCTCTACAATTGTAAAACAAATATCTTTGGGTTTGTGAAACAAGACATTACAAAAAATGGCCTTAAGGTTAAGGAAACTTCGATGGACAATTTCCACAATTTTCTAATATTTTCTTGACCAAACAACTAATCAATGAATCGAGAAATTATTCACAGATTAATTGATAGACATTAATTGTTAGTTGCAGCCATATATCTCATCATATTCCCATCAGTCTCCACAGAGTGTCTCCTTACAGCAAAAAGGTGCCAGATTACATCCAATCCTTTCTGTAAGAAGTCTGCATGCACTCCAAATATTTGTATGTATTTCTACCACACTCCAAAGAAATGCATGTCAGGTAGTGACAGTGTGAATATGACTGACTGGCCTCTAATGGGGAACCTGTCAAGCTTCAGCATCTAATCATTAATAGATCTACGTTTCAACCATCACTCCTGGTCATGAGCTTTGAGGTAGTGAGAAAATGAAGAGCAGAACCGCTGCTCCCTCATGCCATATTGCTACCTCTAAAGGAACATTTTTGGAGCCCTAGTTCATCTGTCCAAGAGGCTTTTTTTTTTTTTACTGCATTTCATTGTCTTTGTACTTTTACTTTGTGCAAAGTTGAATCTAACCTAATCTGATCTAATGAACAGGATTGTTCAATGTGGCTAACATCAGGGGTGAGATCCAAAATCTCATCTCATCTCATCTCATCTTCATCCGCTTATCCGGGATCGGGTCAACTCTGACTGGGGGATCCCTAGGCGTTCCCAGGCCAGTGTTGAGATATAATCTCTCCACCTAGTCCTCGGTCTGGCCCGTGGCCTCCTCCCAGCTGGACGTGCCAGGAACACCTCCCTCGGGAGGCACCCTGGAGGCATCCTCACCAGATGCCCGAACCATTACAGCTGGCTCTTTCCCTTGCGGATGTCCAAGCTTCTCACCCTATCCCTTAGGGAGACGCCGGCCACCTTCCTGAGGAAACCCATTTTGGCTGCTTGTACCCGCGATCTCGTTCTTTTGGTCATGACCCATCTCTCATGACCATAGGTGAGGGTAGGAACAAAGATCGACCGGTAGATCGAGAGCTTCGCCTTTCGGCTCAACTCTCTTTTTGTGACAACAGTTCGATAAAGGGATCGCAATACTGCCTCCAAAGTCCTTCTCCATGACTTCTCCGAACTCCTCCCACACCCACTGTTTTGCTTCCCTCACAGCTGTGGCTGCAGTCCTTCTGGCCTGTCGGAGTCCCTCCAGGATAACATCCCGGAAGGCCTCCTTCTTCAGTCGGACGGCTTTCGTGACTTCCGGTGTCCACCACCGTGTTTGAGGGTTACCGCCCTTTGAGGCGCCCGAGACCTTAAGACCACAGCTCACAGCCGCAGCTTCAGCAATAGAAGCTTTGAACACCAACCACTCTGGTTCGATGTCCCCCGCTTCCACAGGAATGCCGGAGAAGCTCTGCCGGAGGTGGGAGTTGAAGGTCTCTTGGACAGGGGCCTTCCTGTTCCCAGTTCACCCCTACTTCACGTTTGAGTTTACCAGAGCTGTCCAGTGCTGTCCAGCCCCTCTCTTTACCCGAGTGTCCAATACATGCGGTCTCAGGTCTGATGATACGATCACAAAATCGATCATAGACCTTTGGCCTAAGGTGCTCTGGTAGCACGTACACTTATGAGCATCCCTATGTACGAACATGGTGTTTGTTATGGACAATCCATGACTAGCACAGAGGTCGAGTAACAAAACACCACTCGGGTTCAAATCAGGGAGGCCATTCCTCCCAATCACGCCCCTCCAAGTGTCTACTGGAGACTTCATTCAGGGTCTCCACGAGGGCGAATATTCTGCACTGCTGTTTGGTGCATAAGCACAAACAACAGTCATAGTTCCCCCCCAGATTGTAGGCGTAGGGAGGCGACCCTCTCGTCCACTGGGGTGAACTCCAACGTAGCAGCGCTTTTCCTTAGTTACAGGTATGGGATATGCAGCAAATGATAGAATTACAACCATAAGAGACTTGAGATTTGACTTGTGAATGTCTCTGTCTTGTAGCTATCCACCGGCCTTATGCACAAGTCATTCAGTCGTTCAGTTCATGGCTTTCTGTAAGTCATCAGTGGTAGAAATATGTCTTTTGTTCAGCTCCATATTGAGGATGGCTTTTATTGAATCTCAAAGTTGTTTAGAACTAGTAGGTGTGTGAAACAAAAACAGACACGAGAAGGGTCTGTTTGTAGTCATATCAAAGGGATTGGGTCTGGCAACAGACTGCTGCTCTTGCTGTATTCTTATTAGGAGGGACTGAAAACAGCACAAACAACAACGCTACCAAACTCCTTCGGAAGGTAAAACAGTCTCAACAGAAGTTTGATCACGTTGTTGTTTGTGCTGTATAGGGTGGAGATAATAGTAACATAAAATCAATGGTGTATGTCACTGATGATAATCTGGATCAGACTGGCAGAGCGTAAGTGTCCTTTCTCTTTCCAATTTGCTAAATTCAATTTATAATATTTTTATTACGTAACTTAGTGACTATCTAAAAATCTTACACAGTATCAGGAAGCTCGGGCTGATCACAAGGCACAGGAATATAACATGTACATAACCGTACATCACACTAAATATTCAGGGCTAGAGATAACTTGTAGAATATACATCAAGGGGGAAGCAGGCCTCCATTTCCAATTAAACAAATTAGGCAATGCAAATTTGAGGTAGATAAATGTCATTTTTGGAGACAGAGTAGCTAGTCAAGATCTGTCTTTTGTAAAGGTCTACTCTGATTACCTGTGTTAACAACATGATATAACATTAGTGTGACTGTCCTGATATATTTTTATCGCTTGTCAGATCAGCTTACTGGATACAGATACAACCTCTGACAGATTGAAGACACCAAAGAAGAGAATGCCAGCAAAGTTGCCTTTGGACTTTAAGAAATGGACTGTGAACAAAATTGTGCAGTACCTTGAACAAGAAGAACTTGGACGATGGGCAGATAAATTCAAAGGTTGGCTTTCTGGTTTGGTGGATTTAATTAAAGCTAAGTTAAAATTAATTATAATTAGATAGCAGCTGCTTTAACTAAGGACTTTCCCTATGATTCTGTATTGTGAGGCATGGAAGCTAATATGAAGGCTACTTGTCATAATGTAATACAGGACAGCTATTAACTTCTTTCTCTTTTACACAGAAAAACACATCACTGGTGACCAACTACAAACTCTAACAGCTGCCAATCTGGAGGATATGGGCATAAAGTAAGTGTCTCCCCTTGTTAAACCACCTGATTGTACAACCATCTGATTTCTTTTAGTTTTCACACCTCACTTTTCTCTTTTCAACTGATTCCCTATTATACTCTTCTGTATTTTCTTTTTTTCGTTTTTCGAGGAAACCTAATGATCGTGAGAGAATCCTGCTCTGTATCAGGAAGCTCTGGAAAGTCCAAGTCAAGGTAATATATGTGTCTAATTATACATCACAATACATTTCCATACATTTTAAGGACTAGAGAGATAAGAGAGAGTAAATAGAAAAATCAAGGGCTTGTAGAATACACAATAAAAGGTATGTGTAAGATTCCAGGATCAGTGAATGAACTTAATCAGTAGTTTTGGGCATGGGCGGAGCGGGCAGCCGCCCAGGGCGGCATTTTTTCATGACACATGGGGGGACAGCACAAGCACTTAAAAAAAAAATCCTCTGCGCCACAAAGTGGTTTTCTATTATCTATCTGTTCTATCATATCACTGTGTGGGGAATTGGCAAATTGGCGCCCCCTACAGCTGCAAGTGCCCTTGCTTGCTGAGAAGGTGCCGTGCACAGAAGCTGTGTGAGAAGGGGGAGGGGGGCGGGGGACAGTTCACTGGGTCTCCCTAATGGAATGGACAAGGGGGGGAACGGGGGATCCACTGTAAGTCACACCTCGACTTTCTTCCAAATAACACACATTTAATTTATAATATAATAAATACAGGCCTATATCATGCACATTTTTGTTTTTCTGAATTGTGATAACTTATACTGTCATATTTTGTGCAGAACTGTGTTCATTGTCTTTTGGCAAATAAATGGTAAATGGACCTGTACTTGTATAGTGCCTTTCTAGTCCTCCGACCACTCAAAGCGCTTTTACCCTACATGGCACATTCGCCCTTTCACACACATTCACTCAGTGATGGTAAAGCCCATCGAACAGAAACTAACTCATTTATACACATTCACACACCGATGCACGGCATCGGGAGCAATTCGGATACAAATTCTTGCTCACGGATACTTCGACATGTGGCACCAGGATCGAACCAACAACCTTCCGATTAGGGGACGACCCGCTCTGCCTCTGCACCACAGCCGCCCCGTGGAAATTGTGCACTTAAAAAGTGTGTTTCCTGTTCCAAGTGGAATAGTTAAATCCAATTTTTCTGATGATGGATTAGTGCATTTGAGAAATATAATTCTCTGCTTCACTTATGTTGTTATTTTATTATAATAAGGGGGTCTCACCAACGGTGTCATTCAAGATAGAACCGCCACTGAACTTAATCACAAAATCAAGATTGGGCTTGTTTACTCTCCATTGTTGGTTGGACAGCAAAGGAGATGTGGGAGAAAAAATCAGGAATATTGCAGTATGAAATAAACAAAAGACTAGCCCTCAGGAGAACTGGAGTTGGTTTACTCTTTTGGGTAATAACTGGACTGGATTTTGTTGTATGTGTTCTACAGGTGTTTAATGATCCCATCCACGGGCATATGGAGTTACACCCACTTCTTGTCAAAATCATTGACACGCCTCAGTTCCAGAGACTACGGAGTATCAGGCAGCTCGGAGGGACCTACTTTGTTTACCCTGGAGCATCCCACAACCGCTTTGAACACTCGATTGGGTATGTTTGTGGATTTTTTTAGATAGACACAGGTATGTGTTTAAAAAAAACATGGTGCATATGTTTATAGGTATAATAGTTCAGTATATATTTCATATATATATATATATATATATATATATATATATATAACATTTCATTTTGCAACAGGATACTCATGTAGTAATTGTGTAATGAGTTATTTGTTGTGTGTTCTGTATGTGGTGGTAAAGGGTGGCGCATTTAGCAGGACAGCTTGGACAAGCTCTGAAAACAAAGCAGCCAGGTCTCAACATCACTGACAGAGACATCCTCTGCGTACAGATTGCTGGTCTTTGTCATGATCTGGGTGAGTGAGGCACACCTTTTCACTTTTACATGTATGTTTTAAATAATTGTAAGTGAAAAGGAAATGGTCAATAAAAGTAAATGTTGATCTAATTTCAAAGGGTTTCTGTAGGCACTAACAATTAATGGCTAGTCTGAACTAACAGCAGACAATACAAACAAAGTGTGCAATGGTCCACATGATAATGTACATTTCTGTTCTTCAGAATACTTCTTATTTCAGTGATGAGTTACTGCTAATTCAAACTCAGCATTCCTGTATGTTTTCAATTCAATTTATATCTCCATATCTAGGACATGGGCCATTTTCCCATCTGTATGATGGAATGTTCATCCCTAAAGCACGTCCAGGCAACAAGTGGAAGGTAAGAAACAATTATTTCTGTTGTTCATAATGTATATGACATAGTCCCTAACCACAAAAATGACACACAAAGGAAAACAGAGCCTGCATCAAGGAAGCAAATCAGTTAGATATGAATGGGAACTAATTAGCAAAGACACAAACAAGTCAGTGTTTAGTTGAAACACGGTTTAAAAGACAAATCATCTGTACTTCATATCAGGCATAATGGATAATAATGGCATAATGCAGTCTCTTTAGGTACTGACATGTTCATGGTTAATTTGTCAGACTGGAGAGCAACAGAAGACATAGGCTGAGTAACACTACTTATGACTAGTTAACTGACCCTAATGTGTAGAATTTGTTGCGGGCCCCTTACTTTGAAAACAGGTGAAATGAAAAATTTAATTTTTTGTTCCTTTAAGCACAATTAGATGTGGCATTCCTGGTATTATGTCCCATGCAGTGTATTCTCAAAGGATATTGTGTCAAGTACTTCTCTAACTAACTAAACATTCCAATACACAAATGATACTATTCATTAGGCAGAATTTGTTTTATGGAAGGTGCCTGGAAGCAAAGAATGTTTTTTTCTTCATGGAAAAAAAGGTCATTCAAAAAGAGGGTTAGGATTTGTGTGTGGTATCATATGTCTCCCTCTTTCACACACACCAACATCCTGTGGGTGAGTGATAGAGGTGAAGAGATTATAGACCTGGTTTAGGGGTAGCAGGGTGAAGCAGGCTGTATGCAATACAAGGCACCTGATCACACACAGACGAGCATTCCCATTCAGTGTATTCTTTCATGTTTTTAGCAAAGATAAACTCTTTCTACCTGAGCAGCGAGTTGTTGTTCTCACTTTGAATTCTGGTATTAATATATTAATGAGTCTGTTTCTGTTGCAGCATGAAACTGCTTCTCTGGCCATGTTTGACCACCTGGTGAAATGTAATAAGCTGGAGGATGTGATGAAGCAGTATGGCCTGAACCTGTCCGAGGATCTGGACTTCATCAAGGAGATGATTGACAGAGACAATGACAAAGACCAGGAGGTACCGAAAAGTAGCACAGTTCAAGACCAGAAAACTGAGTTCACAGTAATTGTGTGAAATCAGTCAGTATCAATATTGCTACAGCAACCAATGTCTAATGCCACGATTGTCTGTAATCTCCACAGTGGCTACATAAAGGCCGTCCAAAAGACAAGTCCTTTCTCTATGAAATCGTGTCCAACAAAACAAACGGCATTGATGTGGACAAGTTTGACTACTTTGCCAGGTGGGACTTGTTTTACAGCTACTGTGGCTAACTCTGAATCCGTGATGCTTTTCTAGGGCCATGTTTTTGAAAGAGCCAGAATATCGGGATCTGCTTGAGAGAGTAATTTTTTCGAGTGATCAAGCTTCTGGTGCTGGAGGAGACTTTTTAAATTATTACTATTATTTAAAATATTTAAATTGATCAGCACTATGCCTTTCCTGCTCTTAAAATTAGATAGATTATTTGCACAGAATGGGATGGGTTTAGGTGGGCAGTTAGTCAGAGGAGCAGAATTACTCAATGTCTTCTGGCATAGGTAAGATATGAATAAAATTATCAAAATTAATATTATTGCTTCTGGTTCACCATCTACATGGCCCACAGACTGTGATAACACGAGTTTGAGGCTGAAGTTCTGTCCAGAAGGGGGTGCCTGGTAAAATAGGATAGGAGGAGAAGGCCGAAACAGTGACACAGTGTAATGACCGAGGGGAATCAGTTACACTGGACATTGTTTGGAACTTTCTCCAGGTTGCTTTTGCTGATTAGTTTAACACAATAAGACAATTTTCTTCACTCTGTTCTATCTTAGGGACTGCTACCACCTGGGCGTCCAGATCAACTTTGACTATCATCGCTTCTTAAAGTTTGCCAGGGTGTGTGAGGTGGACGGCTGGAAGCACATCTGTGTTAGAGACAAGGTAAAGACAATGTTACTCCTACTCTTGTATCAGATTGTAAACAGATTTGTTCCGACTAAACTATAGGCAATACTCTCAACAGGAGGAGGATAATATGACTGAAATGTTCCACACCAGGCTCTGTCTCCACAGAAGAGCCTACCAGCACAAAGTGACCAAGATCATAGAGACTATGTGAGTACTTACCCTTCTCTACCCAGTTCCTCCAGAATATCACAGACTTTTTAAGGGATTGTTGCAGTCTAAAATGCCAGATATAAAGAAACTTTTCTGAAGAAGTGCAATGCATGTTGTGATGTTTTTAGGCATTTTGTTTTACAATGAAATGGAAGGATAAATTAAAAATCAAAGGCAACTTGTTCCAGTGAGAATGACATCTCTGGTAGTTTGGTGACAGGTGGTGACATTTTGTGTGTTTCAGTTTTAAAAGTGAACATATCACTTTTAAAAATGATTAATGATTAATGATGATGATTAATAATGATTATCCAGGATCACAGATGCCTTTTTAAAAGCAGACAAGCACATCAAGATTGAAGGCACAGGAAAGAAGACTTTCAGACTCTCCACAGCCATTGATGACATGGAAGCCTATACTAAGCTGACAGGTCTGTAGATAGCACTGGGACAAATCTGGTTCTCTAGCTGTAAGAACACGTGTTTGTTTGGTAAATCTTTATAATAATAATCATAAGCAATTGTAAAATATGTCATTACAATTGCAATTTGATTTTTTTAATTAATTCACATTTTATTTAGCTGATTTTCTTAAAGTTTGGTTAAAATCTGTGCTATATTTTGATAAAAACCTAGTTACTAACAGTTAGGCTACCTAGCTTATTATTGAGAAACTAACAGGTATATTGCATTAAGAGGTAATAAGTTTTGTTGGAGTTGTTGGAGTTTAAAACTCATGTAAACGCTATCAAATCCAATAAAGAGCAGGACAGTTGTAAACATTACCCTAGACTTTGACACAGTAGCAACTACAATCATGTGAATATGCATGTAAATTCACTGATCTTCCACTCTGTTTATCTGTTTCTCTGTAGATGCTGTGTTTGAAAAAATACTCAACTGTGCATTTGACGCACCCCAGGAGCTGAGGGATGCAAGAGACATTCTACGCAGGATCATTAATCGAGACCTCTACAGGTTTCTGGGTGAAACGCGGTTTGAGGATCCCACTGAGGTTTGTACAAATGTCTTTGTGGGCCTTTATTGCATTACACTGTCTGTCATATCATCTATTTCTCTGTTATGATGAAGCTCCTTTTGTGTGCACATTCCTTGTTTCTGTTTTCTCTATTTTTTTCATTGTTTATATGGATATCGTGCTTGGATTTCACATGGACTACAACACATTCCTGCCAGTTACAATTTCTATAAATTGAATTTAGAGGATGTGATAGCAGTGTAAGTAAAATCATAGAAAGAAACTTACTCACTTACTGCATCTACAGAGCTGGCAGTTTTTTGTGTGAAAATGACTCACGTCCACACTCCCATACAGGTCATATATTTCATAGAACTTCTGCCCACAGGTAGACAGTAAAAAAGGCAAAATCTCTTCTTCTTTATCTTCTTTTTAGTTGGCAAACAACAAAATTGCACATCACAGCCAACACCTGGTGATGTGTTGGACAGACAGCCCAGCTGACAAATACTCCTTGTGATGCTGTTTTAATGCAGCCAATATAGTTGTCACTTAATATTTTCCTATAGATAGATAGATAGATAGATAGATAGATAGATAGATAGATAGATAGATAGATAGATAGATAGATAGATAGATAGAATACTTTATTTATCCCCGAAGGGAAATTATAGTGTTATAGCAGCTGATTCAGAGTCAATTATTATTTGAAAGTCTTATTGCAGAGGGGAGGAACGATTTTCTATATTGTTCCTTAGAGCAGTGGGGATGAATGAGTCTGTTGCTGAAGCTGCTCTTTAGCTTTTCCAGTGTTGTGTGGAGGGGGTGGGAGGGATTGTTCATGATTGCCAGCAGTTTTGCCAGCATCCTCTCCTCCACCACCTCCTCCAGGGTGACAAGCTTCAAGCCAACAACAGACTCTGCCTTTTTAATGAGTTTGTTTAGTCTGTTGGCTTCCTTTGCCTTGATGCCCGCACCCCAGGACACCGCAGCAAAGAAGATGGTGCTCGCCACAACAGACTGATAGAACATCTGAAACATCCTGTTGCAGACATTGAAAGACCTGAGCCTCCTCAGGAAGGAAAGCCGGCTCATGCCCTTCTTGTAGATGGCCTCTGAGTTTGTGAACCAGTCCAGTTTGTTGTCTGGTGTGACACCCGAGTACTTGTACGCCGACACCATATCCACATCTGTCCCATCGATGCTGACAGGAGAGGGCAGGGGCTTGTTCCTCCTAAAATCCACCACCATCTCCTTTGTTTTTGCCACATTCAGCTGCAGGTGGTTCTCCCCACACCACTTCACAAAGCGATCAACCAGGTCCCTGTACTCAGCCTCCCCTCTGCCCTCCAGACACCCTACAATAGCCGTATCATCAGAGTATTTTTGGAGATGACACGTACTGTACTGGAACAAATATAATATTAAATATTACACCTCTGTGGTTGGGAGGTAGAGCAGGGTTAATTATTTGATCCTCAGCTCCTCCTGTTAATATGTCAAAGTGACCTTGAGAAAGACATTGAATCTGAAAGCCCTTGTTAGCCGCGTTGAGATCAAGAAGCTCTATGTAAATGCAGTCCATTTAACAAGTAATGTGCAGGTTATTTCCAAGCTGCAGTGCTCATAAAACAACTATTTTATGATCATGATGTCATGTGATAAAATCTAGTCAAAAACAACACCTGTGACTAGTAAGTGATTATAATGACATTTAAAATGAGGGATCACAGAAAAACAAAAAAACAACAGAAACGTTTTCTTAACTTGACTGACAGTGTGTTGTTAAGATGCAATCAATCTCAAACCTCTTGTCCTACCACTTCTCACCCTTTCTCCTCCCTTCCTAGGAAATAATTCCTGCTTGGAAAAGGGAATTGGCTGAAGCTCTTGGTGACGGGCTGACTGAAGATGACTTTGAGATTGTGGTGAGTTTTCAGTCTAAAACATCACTTTTCTTTAAATGTTTATCTTAATTATCAGTTAATTTGTAAGATGTTGTCTTCCTCCATTTTAGCATAATTTTATTTGAGAATATGAAAACAAGCTTCTTTCCCACATTTCTCTGTTAGACCATTAAAATGGACTATGGGATGAAACGCGAGGACCCCATCGATCACTTATATTTCTACACCAAGCATGACACTACCCGCGCATTCAACAGGAAGGTCAGAACTAAAACGATGATGACTACAATTTTAATTTTAGTCTTCCTTTGTATGACATCCCTCTGTTGTCATTATTCTGAAATGTATGCTGCTTTCAGCGTTGTCAGGTGTCCAGGATTCGCCCAATGTGCTTTTCTGAGCAGCTGGTCGGGTTTGTCTGTAAGAAGACTGATGACAGGAATCCGCAGGCTGACGTGGACAACTTTCAACAGTGGTGCAGGGCAAAGGACTTTCCAGAGTATCAGGTAATCTTTATATCTAGGCTGTTAAACATATAATATTGTAGGTATTATGTGGGAGTTTGTGTAGCCTAGGGCTGTAGCCAGTGATCACTTTCATTATTGTTTAATATACCAAATATTTTCTTGATTAATTGACAAATATAGTTTGGTTTATAGATGTAACAATTTCCTTAAACCCAAGGGGGTGTCTTATAAAAGCAGTCAGAAACTCCAATATTATTGATTTACTTAAACATAAGACAGAAAAACAGCAAAGCTGGATATAGGCAACATTTTTGCTTGAAAAATGACTTTATTTACGATTATAATTATAATTGTTTATCAAAATAGTTGCCCAACTTCAGTTATGCATCTCTCACTCTGAACTGCACTGCTCTTGGTAATATTGATGCACTTGTCTGTGCAGGAAAATCAATCTGAGCTTTTGGAAGATGGACATCAAAACTGAAAACAAGCAAACACTCCCTGGTACTCATTGGTTCATGATTGAAAATGATTTAAATATTATATAAGGTGAGTATGTTAATGAGCACAGAGTCTTCTTTATAAATTAGGATGCATTTGCATATTCAGGCCCTGTACTCTGGTCTTTTAGAGGCCTGATCAATATTATACATGTATCTGTGGTTCAGTTTGATTTTAGACTCTTTCATAATCTAGAGCTGTACGTGTCTGATTTTAAACTGAATCACTTCTTAATAGCATGTTGTTACTAAAAACATACCAGAAACATACTATTACTCTGTTGTGAACAATCAATCATGGTTACTTAAAATATCTTTGTGTGAAACTGAATATGTACACAGTACGTTTCACTGATTTATTAATTTATGCGTCTTCATGTATTCTGTGTATTCCTTATGATTGGGGCAAGCTGCAAAGCACTTGCCAACATATATAATGGAGTTTGTCATTTAAAGTTTAATTTGTGGTTAAGGGATTTCAAATATTTTGGTTTTGATGTTAATCACGTGACTTAATGTGGAAATTTGATTAGATATTATTATGACTTTGAGTGATGTTTGTTTTGAGGTAGTTTCTGGTGGTGGTTGTGGTTCCAACGATTGGCTGTATCTTTCTTGAACCACAGAATTTATCTTTACTTCTTCAATGTTGATTTTTTTCATTTCTTTTTAAATATCTCTTTTATTGGTGACATATTTTATCATATTTTTGTCTTGAATTATTCTACCTTTTGAAACTGGCTCTTTTTTTGACGGTTGCGTTGAGACCATTCATGGATGACTTGAATAAAACCTTACAGAAAGACAAGATCATACTTTGTATGCTTTATTAAACAAATTGCCACCACAGGGGCTATAAAGGGAAACCTACCAGAGACAATTAGAAGCTTTGAACTTTATTCTTAAAGTTGATAATAGATTGTGCTCTATTTGAAATGAAACTCTTTTTTTCCCTCTTTGTTGTGTGCCCTCGTGCAGTTTAATTTGTCACACACTAGAGGACATCATACACTCTCGTGTGTTATGCTGCTGCTATCCCCAGCCCAGGCCCGGCCCTAACCAATTTGGTGCCCTAGGCAAGATTTTAGGTGGTGCCCCCCTTGCATCGCAGTAAATTCCACTGCCAGTTATATACATACATATACTCACGCAAGAAACTGAATAACTTTGTCTTTGACATTTTATTTTATTTTTAGAGAAACAAGTTGCTCAATCAAAACAGTTAACAAGAAAATAATAAATTAGAAATAAATAATACAATAAATGTCATATAAATAGCCTACACAAAGTATAAAATTTAACTACCTACAAAATAAAAACAAGTGATAAACCTGAGGTGGAGGTGACAGGAGGATCACTTGATGCCGTTGGAGCGGTGATGACTGTAGACGGCCCAGGATTTGCAGGAGGTGGATTTAGATATTTCAACAGCGCATCTGAAGAGAGAAGAGGAGTAAGTGACACTGTTGGGTGTTACAGTCTAATAATAAAAGAAATGATTCCAAGAATAAAATTAATAAAAATGAAAAACCTAAGGGATGCATTACTTTCACTGTACTGTGCATGAATGATATACAGTGCATTTTTTTCTGATATGCAAATTAGATTAGATTTATTGTCATTGTCATTACAGTGAAATGCTGATTATCAGAATGCAAAGAAGCAGTAAACTGCAGTATAATATAACATATGGGAATGTATTAACATTAATGAAGTGCACTTTAACATGGATGTAAAGTGTAACACTATAAACACACTTTAAACAATACTGAACTGTAACACAACAAACAACAAGGCTTACAACTCTAATAAATAAAGGTGTGTGAAGGGAATAGCATTTGACTGTTACCAGCAGAGCAAACGTTAGCTAACCAATAATAAATACAAATAAAAATGTAGACAAATGTAAAACACCTGCTGAATAGATCTAATCTTTACAAATGTCCCTGAGAAATATAAGGTGGGAGTATTACTTTTTTGCAACAGACAAATCATTTCATCACATTATCTTTACTCTACCTCTGTCTTTGTTGCGTTTTTCCTCCTCTTCTTTTCTTTTTTTCCTTCCCTGGGCACCAGAAAGTTTTGGTCGTTTGACAGTGTTAATGTTTTCTTGGGTGACGTCAGAATACTCAACCATCTCTCAGAGAGCAGGTAGAGTCTAATCAGTCAGAGGAGGAGAGGGGGCGGGGGGCTAAATAAAGTCTTATTATTGTTTAATAGGCTTTGCTATGCAGTTAAATTCATGGGGTCTTTTTTAATACTCAGAAATAATAGCACCAACTAGTTTTAGTATAAAAATATTGAAAGTTGCAGTTTTTTTTCTCCCCCCATCGCGGCGCCCACTAGATGGACGGCGCCCTTAGCATTTGCCTATACTGCCTATGCCACAGGCCGGCACTGACAACTATTGTATAATAAAGTGATAACTGTCTGCACAGAAAGCATCTTAAGACAGGAGTTACTTACAAGACATTTTTTATCCTATATCCTATAAGACAAATGTATTGCTACAACTCAGAATACCCAACAGCGTCCAAGTGCCATTGAGAATAACACTGAAGATGTGCAACCTCCTTTGTTGGGATACAAATACTACACCCAAAGGTGGGACAACTTCATCATCATAGATGGAGTAAATCTTTGAGATGATTGTACATTACCCATGTTTCCTCATATGTGGTTTTGAAATTTCCATCCAGATTAAGTACAAAAATGTCAACAAAAGAGGAATGAGTACATAGTTAAACATATGGTGAAGTAGAACGCATGCACTTTACTGTCAAGCAAACTGAACTGAAAGAATTAAACAACAGTGTCATCTTGTGGCCATTTGGTGTAGTTGAGCAAAAGTACCCATATACCGATCAGCCATAACATTATGACATATGGGCACCCTGGTGGTCATAATGTTATGCAGACCCATTCCAACAAACTGGGGATCCACTGTGTGTTCTGACATCTTTCTATTAGAATCAGCATTAACTTTTTCAGCAATTTGAACTACAGTAGCTTGTCTGTTAGATCGGACCACACAGGCCAGCATTCACTCCTCACGTGCATCAACGAGCCTTGGTCGTCCATGACCCTGTCCCCGGTCTGCAAGTGTATAAGCAATGGTAAAAACTGTAATAAATGTTTAAATTCAGTGTTAAAATAAAACTGTGCATAAGGTAAAATGTATTTCTATGGCTGTTATTGATATTGTTGGTTAATATCGACTTTTGCAGGGAAGGCAGGCCAAATATACAAATATTTCACATACATTTTCTGTTAAAGTACTATTACATCTTGTGTTGACTGACAAATGATAATAACTTAACTTATAAAAGTACATTGTCAAGTTTGGCTGAAAATATTATGGTAACAATTGACAATATGGTACACAATGGATGGAGACCAGAGATTGTGAGATGTTGTCTGAAGAAAGGGGGTGTAAGCAAGTTGTAACGTACTAAACTGGCTTACTTACTTACTTAAGTCTCAACCATCAGTGTTCATGCTCTGTGAGTTGTTGCAGGCCTGTCGTAAACTGAGAAATTCACTCCCCAATCTTGTTTATGTTCCCAGTGCCTTCTTTACTTTTCATAGTGTAAAAGAACTTTCTGTATTGTAAACAAAATTGTGTCAGCAAACCAAATTTAGAAGGCCATCACATTTCTTCATAAACAAATTAAGCATTGCAAATTTGACTTTCAGGGCAGTAGTTAGATGGGTGTGGTGGTAACATAAAAGCCAGGTATTGTTCAAACTCTCCTGACTTGATCAGCTGTATCCTCAAAATTATGTAACATTATGACATTATTCCTATATATTTACCGCTTGTCAGATTAGCATTAAAAATGTCTGTTAGATGAAGATACAACCACTGATGTTGTCGATGGGTTTGCCAGGGAGCTGTGAGCAACAGAGAGTGTAGGAAATGTGCCAGTACTTTACTAAAGTAAAGAACAAGTACCCCAAAAATGTACTTGGTTTCATTCCATTAACGCTGTGAAAACATCGCCGTCACACTGTTCCTAAACCAAGTACCTTCCTCATGCTGGATATTTGTGACACAGTACAGATAATACAGACACCATGAAGGATATTTTTCACTCAATACAAACATGACATTCTAGTGATAGATTAAAAGATCAAAATTTATTTTCCAGTACTGATGAAATTTATAGTGTTAGGAAACTACTTTGAAAATGTCACAAAAGTTGAGAGTATGGAGAATAGTTCCATACAATCTTTAATAATAAAAGGATTATACAGAACTGCAATACACTAATACAAAACGCTGCAAACACAGGAATGATGCAAAACCAAAAACACACAAACACATAAAAACAAATGCAACAGAAAAACACAGCAACAGAAAAATGCTGCAATCACAGAAGTGGAGCAGAAGCACAAACTTACAAACCCACAAAACAACTGCCAAAGAAAAATGCTGCAAATACCAAAAACACACAAAACCCCAAAACAACAAACGTTGCAAATTCACTCGACAAAACGGAAGTGCGCCAGGCCACTGAGGGATGGACCAGTCCTGTGGGACCAGACCCGAAACACATCATCTTCAAGAAGAAAAGAAGAAGAAGAAGAAGAAGAAGAAGAAGAAGAAAGTTGGCTAAGTTTTGGAGAGGAGAATAAAAAGATAAGTTTTCCTTTATGTCTTTTTTAAACACTTGGCCGTAATCTTTTATATTATAATAATATTATAACAATATTATTATAATATTATATTATAGAATAATTATAATATTCTTCTATAATATTCTAAGAATATATAATATATATATATAATAAGAATATTCTTCTATAATAATATTATTTATTATTATTATAATATTAAATAATATTATTTTTATATTATTTAATATTATATTAATATCAAGTAATCAAGATGCTTTTAGGGATAGATTCATTGCTGCAATATCTTCTAAATTTAATTCACCATTTTCATGGAGATCATTTATTGCCTTATCAGGTTTATTTTTCAAAAAGAACTTTGAAATGTTCATTAAAAACATTTAAAGAAGGATGCCTCCGAAGAGGGAAGTGCTGTGAAGAGATAAAGGAACTAAGATTGCGTATTATCCGATATATCACATTTCCTCATAAAAAAACTAATCAGGCAATGCAAATTATTTGACTTTCAGTCCGAGGGCAGTAGTTCTCCCCCGATGCCAATCCCATCTTACTTTATCAAACACCTTCTCAAAGTCAGTCAATAAATAAAAAATGGAGACATCTGTTTGATACCCATAATGTCACTTCCATTCTGCAAAGGTCAGGGGTTCGATGAATAAAGCAAAATGTCATTGGGAGAGTTGGCTTTGTATATCCAATCATCCATCCCAATCTTCTTTACATTTTCAGAGCCTTCTTTACTTGTTATATAAAACATTTCCTCATAAACAAATGAGGGAATGCAAATTTCTGCAGTAGTTAGGTGGGTGTGGCGGAGACACAAAAGCCAGATATTGTTCAACTCTCTTGGTCTTTTCTGCAGATCTGCCCTGATCAGCTGTTTTAGCAACATGATATAACATATTTGTATTCCTATATTGTCCCTTTATATGTGCTTGTCTGATCAACATAAAAATTATTGGTGAGACATAGGTACAGCCGCTGAGAGATTTAAAACGCTAAAGAAGACTGTTCGTCGCCATTTAGCTTTAAGAATTGGACTCTGGAAGAAAGCAGTGCATTTAAGAAGAAAAAAACAGCAGAACAAGGTTAGTATGAAATTGATTTTCTGGTTTGGTAACATATGGTTATTGTTAATCTCAAGGCTATCCTAAATAAGTTAACTATTTGAAGACTTTCTTTATGATTCTGTATTGTAAGGCGTCAAAGCTAATATCAAGGCTACTTGTCATAATAAAAACTTCATTAACTGCTTTGACTTTTACCTAGAAGAAAACACCACTGTGGAGAATAACGGCAATATGTAAGTGTCTCAGGTTGCAATGTCAAAACATTTTAACAATCCTGGATAGAAGTGTATACAAAGCAAAATTTCTCTGATGTTCTACAATAACCTGATTTTATTCATCACAAATCACTTTTCTCTCTTCTACTCATTCCCTACTATGGAAACTTTGTTGGAGCAGATCCCAGGCAAGGTAATATATCATGTGCCTAATCATACATCCCTCTAGATTTTTATACATTTTCAGGACTTGAGGATAAAAGAGAAAGGTGAAAAACTGGGAAAATATCCAAGAGTTTGTAGAATAAACAGCAAAGATGCCAGAATAAGTGAATAACCTACACAACGACAACATCAAGATTGTGCATGTTGATTCTACAGCAAAGAAGAAGAAAAAATCAGGAAGATAATATGTATGAAATAAATGGTAAATGGACCTGTACTTGTATAGCGCCTTTCTAGTCTTCCGACCACTCAAAGCACTTTTACACTACGTGCCACATTCACCCTTTCACACACATTCACTCAGTGATGGCAAAGTCCATCAAACAGAAACTAACATTCATATACACTCACACACCGATGCACGGCATCAGGAGCAATTTGGGGTTCAGTATCTTGCTCAAGGATACTTCAACAGGTGGCACCAGGAGCCGGGGATCGAACACATAACCTTGCGATTAAGGAACGACCCGCTCTGCCTCTGAGCCACAGCCGCCTGAAAGACCAACTTGTGAAGCCCTCAGGAGAACTGGAGTTGGTTTACCCTTTTGGGTAATAACTGGACTGGATTTTGTTGTATGTGTTCTACAGGTGTTCAATGATCCCATCCACGGGCATATGGAGTTACACCCACTTCTTGTCAAAATCATTGACACGCCTCAGTTCCAGAGACTACGGAATATCAGGCAGCTCGGAGGGGCCTACTTTGTTTACCCTGGAGCATCCCATAACCGCTTTGAACACTCGATTGGGTATGTTTGCAGATTTTTTAGATAGACACAGGTATGTGTTTAAAAAAAACATGGTGCATATGTTTATAGGTATAATAGTTCAGTATATATTTCATATATATACATTTCTATTTTTGCAACAGGATACAGTAGTAATTGTGTAATGAGTTCTTTGTTGTGTGTGCTGTATGTGGTGGTAAAGGGTGGCGCATTTAGCAGGACAGCTTGGACAAGGTCTGAAAACAAAGTAGCCAGGTCTCAACATCACTGACAGAGACATCCTCTGCGTACAGATTGCTGGTCTTTGTCATGATCTGGGTGAGGGAGGCACACCTTTTCACTTTTACATGTATATTTTAAATAATTGTAAGTGATAGGGAATGGTCAAATAAAAGTAAATGTTGATCTAATTTCAAGTCTGAACTAACAGCAGACAATACAAACAATGTGTGCAATGGTCCACATGATAATGTACATTTCTGTTCTTCAGAAAACTTTTCTTATTTCAGTCATGAGCTACTGCTAATTCAAACTCATTTAATCTAAAAAAACTAAAGGAATTGCTAACAGATAAGTCCTAGTGCAAAATACTTGCAGGAAGTGTTGAATTTCTTTGAGGGACATTTAACATCAAATTGTATTGAATGGTAAAGTGAAAAGTTTAAAAGGCATTCTTGAAAAGAACTAGTTCATATTACATGTTGCCTGACCATTTCAGAAGGAAAAAGTGTTTATAGTTGTTCCAAAGGACCATACTTGAGGAAAACTTTAGAAAAATAAAAAAAAAAGGCGCAGGTACACTATTTAAATGTCAGCAGGTAATGTACATGATATTCCCAAGCTGCAGTGTTGATAAAATCATTATTTTATGATTGTGTCATAATTTGACAAAATCAGCTTAAATGCTGGTCAACAACAACACCTGTACTATGTAAGTGGTTGTATTGACATTTAAAATAAGGGATCACAGAGAAACCTAAAGCTAACTAATATTTTTTCTTAATTTTAACCCCCAACAAAAACTGCACAGGATTTATGCAAAAGCTTAATTTCTCCCATACACACTAAAGAATTTATACACTCCAAACAAAGTTTTGGAAAATCTCCATAAATTATGTTTTAGTGTGGACAGGGACCTGAACCAAGAAAGGTTTAGTTTTAAAAGTGACTGACTGGACAGTTTTAAGTCAGATTGATACTTCTGCGTCAAATTGATATTATAGGTTTGGCAGCCTATGCAGGTGACTCCCTGACGGGCTGACAAAAGAGGACTTTGAAGTTATGGTGAGTTTTTATATACTTTAATTTCAGCTTTCTTAAAATCTGGATCTTGATTATCTTTTGATTTGTATGATGTTGCCTACCTCTGTTGTGGCATCATTCACTGAAACAGGCGTATCTCTCACCTTTCTCTTTTAGCCCATCGAAATGAACTATGGGATGGAAGACAAGAACCCCATTGATGAAATGTATTTCTACAGCAAGTCTGACATGAACACTGCAAAAAATATCCCCAAAGACCAAGTCAGAAGTAATGACATCAAAACCTTTAACCTTAGTTGTTTTTTTTACATGAGCTGTTTGTTTCGTGTGTGTTCTATATAAAGGCAACTTCTGTTGTTATTATTCTCACAAATGCGGTCATTCTTGTCAGGTGTCCAAATTTCTCCCAGATGAATTTTCTGAGAAGCTGATCAGGTTTTTCTGTAAGAAGACTGATGACAAGAGTCTGAAGGCTGCCAAGGAGCACTTTGACAATTGATTTAAAGAAAAGGACTTTTCACTGCCTCAGGTAATATTTAGACTTCAATTTTATTAACTTTTTTGCATTTATGTCACACCAAATCGTAACAGAAGTAATCTGAGGACACTTTTCTAATAGCACCGGTTTAGACTGTACTCCTTATAAAATTATACCCAACAGTTCCCACCATGAGCACGCACTTGGTGACAGTGGCAAGCGAAAACTTCCTTTTAAACAGTCCAGTATCTATTGGCAGAAATTGAATATAGTATGCATAGGTGTGGCATACATTTATAACCACCTGAATATAGGAATTGTTCCATTTCATTTACCTTAGAATGAGACGTTTTTATCTACAAACGCCACGGGTCGCCCTTTGTATTTAGCATGTTGAACCATCATGTCTCTACAGTTGCCCAGAACGAACAAATCAAACATTGAATGTAGAAGGGGCCTTTCACATTTTTCATGAGTTTCATGGCCGCCGTAGCTTCTCCTACACACTTCACAGCCCGTTGTCATTCCCACATCATCAATACAGTCGCAAGCAGCGTTAGTTGCATCCCCACTGTAAGCCAGTAAATCCTTCACACTTGTCCTTTAAAAAGCAGGGCAGAGTCCAGCCAATGGTCAGCGGCTGTCTGCCTCGACTGCTTGAGGTTGGAGTGTGGATAGGGGGGTATATAGAGGAGTAAACACGATCCCCAATCTAGGCACGAAACGATCTGTAGGAGCCTGGAGACAAGAAGATCTAAGCTGTAAAATATAGGATACCGTAGGTACTATGTGGGGACTTCAGACTGGAGATTCCATTAAAGTTAGTTTAGTTATGAGCATTAGGATGGGAACATAAGCAGAGATGGAGAAATTACATATATTACATCTTGTCAGAACTCCAGGATCCAACTGCAGTTTTATTGCTCTCTGATCTTGGATCTTGAGTCTAATGTTGCAGCTAATGATTATTTTCCTTATTGATGAATCTACAAATTATTTGATTATTCTACTAATATAGTTTAATTTACTATCACAAAAAAATAATAATAATAATTCATCACAACTGGGTTTCAGTAACAATTGGCATTTTAGTGGGAAAATAAGAGTATAGTTTTATTGATTTATTATTAGTCAGTCGACTAATGATTTCAGCTCCAGTGCAGTCCAGTGCAACTTCAGCAATGAATCTCTCACTATAAACTGCTCTTCTTAATACTGATGCACTTATCTGCGCTGTGTTTATTTACATGCAGGATGGAGACACCAGACCTCAGCCGTGAGGAAAATTTCTCCCAAAATGAATCTGAAGTTTTGGTAGATCAAAATCTGATAAATAGAAAGCAAAAATTCCCTGACAAATGTATGCTTCTTTGCGTATTCTCTGTGTTTTCTTTATAATTGGAATCTGCCAACATATGTATTTGAGTTTTTCATTTAAAGTGAACATTTAATTTGTGGTTCAGGGATTTCAAATATTTAGTGGTGTTTGATTTTAATGTTAACCACGTGAATTAATGTGGAAATCAGATTAGATACATTTTGATTCTGAGTGATGTTTGAGTGAGATTTTTTTCTGGTGGTGGTTGTGGATCCAGTTTGGTTATTTTACTGAATATTTCTTCCACTACAGGATTTACTGTTACTTATTCACAGTTTATTCACTTTTATTAATGGCATCTTTTATTTTGTTAATTATTCTACCTTTTGAAACTCTTGAGAAGCACTATGTTTTTCATCTATCAATATGAAAAAGCATTTAATACTCATACGATAAAGGCTCAAATCTTTTTTTTTTTATGTAACCATTTGTATGAATGTGGTTAAGGCAAACTTTGGGTTTCATTGTGTTTTGCTCATTGTGTGAAAATGTTTTATATTGTTATTATGTAATGTAGCTATAAAGGGAAACCTACCAGAGGTTATTAGAAGTTTTGAACTTCATTCCTATTGAGACAGGTTGATAATAGAATATTTGAAATAAAACTCTTTTACTCTTCATTATGTGACTTTGCGCAGTTAAACTTGTCTAACACTTGAGGGAATCATTCACTTGCATGTTTCAGCTGTCGCCCAGGAATAGAAAGGCTGCTCAACTATAAAAACAGTTGAATTTGAACTTTATTGATGCAATGTGTAAAATGTACAAATTGTTTGTACAGTAGCAGGTGATATGTAACCCCCCAAAGCACAAAAGATTATTTCTCTTGTGTGCACAAGATAATATATTGTGTTATATAAGTTACGGTCATACATGAAATAAGTAATAACTAAGAACACATAAAGAAAATGTATAATATAACCTAAGAATAAGTAATGTATGTCATTGATGTCAAATTTTACATTTACTGCCTTAATTCTCAACATGCCTCATGACAAGAGTCTGAACTGAAGCATCTGTCATTTATTCATTTTCTTATTATTATTGTCCTGTGGCTTCCATACTCTTCTACAATTGTAAAACAAATATTTTTTGGTTGGTGTTGGTGACACAAAACAAGACATTTAAAGAAGTCGCCTTAAGGTTAAGGATCTTCGATGGACATTTTCCACAATTTTCTAATATTTTCTTGACCAAACAACTAATCAATTAATCGAGAAAATAATCACAGATTAATGATAAAGACTTTAATTGTAAGTTGCAGCCATATATCTCATCACATTCCCATCAGTCTCCACAGAGTGTCTCCTTACAGCAAAAAGGTCCCAGATTCCATCCATCCTGGCCTCTAATGGGGAACCCTGTCAAGCTTCAGCATCTAATCATTAATAGATCTATGTTCCAACCATCACTCCTGATCATGAGCTTTGAGGTAGTGACTGAGAAAATGGGTAGCAGAACCGCTGCTCCCTCGTGACATATTGCTACTTTTAAAGGAGCATTTTTACTGCATTTTTGTTGTCTTAGTACTTGTACTTTGTGCAATGACAATAAAGTTGATTCTAATCTAATCTAGTGAACAGGATTGTTCAATGTGACTAACATCAGGGTTGAGATCCAAAATGATTGAGTAATATTTTGCCCTCCTTACACCTTAGCAACATGATCCCAGATTACTAGCTAAACATGGCCATAAGCTTTGTGTATGCAGTGCGTGTGTTGCAGAATGTTTTGCTTTTTATTCCAATGTTAACAAATCAGAGCAGGCACACTGCCCACATGAGCAATACGTCTCTGCAGCAACACTTCACTAGAGAGTTGAGGTCTTGCATATCTTTTCTATGTGCCATTACTAACAAAAACAGACACTATCAAAGGGACTGGGTCTGGCAACAGACTGCTGCTCTTGCTGTATTCCCACTAGGAGGGACTGGAAACAGAACAAACAACAACGCTACCAAACTCCCTCGGAAGGTAAAACCGTCTCAAGAGAAGTTTGATAACACTGTTGTTTGTGCTGTATAGGGTGGAGATGATAGCAACATAAACTCATAGGTGTTTGTCACTGATGATAATCTGGAGCAGACTGGCAGAGCGTAAGTGTCCTTTCTCTTTACAATTTGCTAACTTTAATTTATAATATTTTTATTACGTAATTTAGTGACTATCTAACAATCCTACACAATATCAGGAAGCTCTGGCTGATCACAAGGCACGGGAATATAACATAGGTAATCGTAGATCACACTAAATATTCAGGGCTAGAGATAACTTGTAGAATACACAGGAAGTGAGTATGTAAGATGTGAATGAACCTTGCCAACTGCATAATTGGGACTGTTCCTCTTAACTCTTGCTTGTGAAGTCCATTGTCAATCTAGAGCAAGAGATGTGGAGGCTAGAAAAAAATGAGAAGGAGGAAGATTACCGCAGGAAATGAACAACTATTTCAGTGATCAATCAGGGGAATTAAGAGGGAGGGAATTTTTTTTAAATTTCTCTGATATTATTAAAGATCAAGATATTATTTAGTACCTTTAGAGTTTCTGAATGGCTTTTTCTGAAATGTAATTACTTATATTGTTATGTTTTGTTTTGTGAATTCAGACAAAAACATCTTCAGCAATTCAATCAATCAAAATCTGTCATTCATTAAAGAACAAATGCAACATTTCTTTAACGTTATTATTGTTTTGTGGCTTCCATACTCTTTTTCAATTGAAAACAAATATCTTTGGGTTTGTGTTGGTCACACAAAACAAGACATTTAAAGAAGTTGCCTTAAGGTACTTCTTCCACATTCACATAAGTAAAAAGACGAAAAGAACTCAGCAGAACTAACTGTTGGTACAAGAAAATGTTACAGCAAATCAGTGATCACTGAAATAAAATAGGCGACTAGTACATTTATATTAAATTTTTGGTCTGTGTGGCCTGGGAATAAGTTCATGAGCAACTAGAACAGCACTTCCATTCAACTTTTTTAATTTTGCCAGGCATTTTGGGCAAGACACCCTTCTTCAGTGTGTATTGGCAAGTTCATCCCATTTTACTTTATCAAACACCTTTTCAAAGTCAGCAATAAATAAAAGCCCATTACAATTCCTCATTCACAAATTAGGCAATGCAAATTATTTGACTCAGAGGGCAGTAGTTAGATGGGTG